ATTTGCTTGGTAAAAGGAGATGTTGGATCAGTGAGTTGTTGAACATAAACAAGGGTAAAGCATTGAAGCATCAGAGTTGGTCAAGTTTGCTTCATCAATCCTTTCGCCCAGGAAGCGAAGCTGGAGACTCGGGCTGCCGAATCTCCTATCTGAGTGCTGCAAGAGCGGAGAGCGCCGTGCTGCGCCGAAAAAGGCGCAAGTTCTTGGATTCAAGTGAGCATGAAACAGTAGATACTTGCGCATGGATGTTGCTCCTTTTTCTCCATGGAATTGACACCATGCAACGGATCATCTTTCTGTTTTATTTGTTTTTGTTATTTTTGTTTTATCATGACTATCATAGACACATGCGACCCCAAGAAGGCCGCTTGGCCAAAAGACGCACAGTCACCGATCAGAGCCACTTTCATTGGGAGCTGCTCGCTTCGACGAAGCTCTGAACTCAGTTTTCACCTCTTGTGATCCATGTGCAAATCTACCGGGAGACAAACAACTATTGTCCGATACTAAACCAGGTTAACCAGGTCAACCATTCTTTTGATGGTGTTTGAAGGCTAGGGTATCCCATGGTGACGATCCAAAACAGCGAGCACAAGACATCCGCACACTCATTTGTGCTTGTGCTCATCTCGGATGGCCGGGACGCGAAGAGGCCGCGCAAAAAGGGGCCCGCGGCGTCCGGTCGTCTCCGTCCGCTGTTCTCAGCTGGTTCGTTGCTTCGTTCGTTCGGGGCTCGGTGACGGGTGCAGGTTCTAGCTGGGATCGTGAGCGAACGAGTGGGATGGATTGGTGGATGAATACGAGAAGTCGCCGGTGGGTACAAGGACCTGGCACTGACCCAATTCCCACGGTCGGACATCATCGGATCCACAATAGCTGGAGCCTCCACAAGAAGTTTGAAGAGAACAGTCGGCTCAAAGTGCAGAGCTGGGGGGGAATAGGTCCAAAGTTTTGGTTGCTTTTGGATGATCCCCATGTTAATACACTGTGGCCATAGTGTGGGGATGGTTCTATTTGTCATTCTTTTTCAGGATGGCGGTAGTTTTTGCTCCACACCGACAGAGCTGCCGCATGTCATGTCGACTGCATATCACTTGAGGCCCAAGTTGCTGGCTGTGGGTGACCGAATAGTTTTCGTGCCACTGGTGCCCGGCCGATTCATGTGACTCGGCCGCAGATGAATCCGAGAAGCTATGCCTGACGGAGCCTTCCCTTGAAGGAGTTCGATCCAGATTCTGTGTAGTTGGAATGAGTCAAAAGGATTTAAAGGGTATGAATCGAGGGTCATTTGTTTTTTCAACTACCAATTCATCAACCGCCGCTTGTAATTAGTGTCAGTTTTTGGTTCCGGCACTCATCAAGTTGCCAGAAACCGACGAAGGAATAGGACCTGCTGAAACTGGTCTAGAGTCTAGAGTTCAAAACAGTCTAACCACAGGGCCCTTGTTGCTTTTCGGGAGTGTAGTTCTTCTGGGGTCCATACGGGCTGACGAACTGGTCTGTGTGGTATCGCGGTGCCGCATTCGACAAATTAGCCCTCCACATAGATGTCTTCTGAGGAATCTTCGGGTTCGTTGCCGGGTCGTTTCGCGGTGAGAAAAAAACTTGTCCCGAGTGCCGAGGTCTTTATAGTTCTGGCCTCTTCTCGCGGTTTTCCAGGCCACGATGACTTTCAGGATTGGAGTCGTGCAGACCTCAGGACGAATTCTTCAGGAATTGGTGGGGTTTGTCTGAATGATGAGTATAGCCTGAAACGAGCATTTTTTTTTCAATTTGCTTTCTCTTCGAGTGGTGCCGCACCAGGGTACAAGACGCGTCCATGGAACATCATAGAAGGCTGAGGAAGCATTTCTCATTGAGGAGAAGGCTTTCAACTTCAGGATGGACTTCAACAATCTACCAAACATTGCCACAAAACGTTGTAGAGGCGTATACCGTATATATAGCTAATACATGCTAATACGCTTGAATCTCTCGTTCGTCGTGTACCTGTGAATTTGTTGGTTCAAGCACCGCCGCTTTTTTCACTCAGGTCTTGCTGGTCTTGGCTGCTGCACGTCACCCGCAGGTTTGTGCCGTGGAGTTCGCGGGGTGTTGACCAGACGCAGAAGAATCTGTAGGACAAACCATGCTATGGTTGGGGGTGTTCTATCAACAGTAACAGTCGGTCAACAATGATCACGATTCTTGAACTATAGGGCCTTTACCAACCATCATCCCCTGGCGTCCAGACAATAGGATACACCCAGAAGCAGTGTGGGTGTTTGTTTTTCACAGGAGACCGAACTGAACGGCGTCACGGCGTTGCTGGACTTGTCTCGCTTTCCGGTGATGACACCGGATCTCAAAATACACATTTTCGGCCATGATATCAAGAGAGTCACTTTGGCCATGAGATCAAGCCATTTTCTGGTTCTGGGCTGCCTGGAAGTGGTGAAACCCAAAACAGTGACATGATACGATAGGTGTGTTTTGTTGGAGGACATGACATGACATTCACATGATCACTTCGAAATCCAAGAACCAACCAAGAGGAGATGTCGACTCTGAGGTATATGGACAGGTCGTTTCCACTTGGATGACCTTTTTCTTCGCATGATTCACACTACCCTAAGAATCCAGGCCCTCAAATAGATAGGGTTTGGGAACCGGGTCCAGACCCCTACTTTCGCTGGAGAAGCTCCGACCTCGTTTCGGGCCCGGCGTCGACGTCGGATGAACTTTCCCAGGTCCGGCGGCAGCCGCACTCTGCGGAGGCGGGGGTGCCGAAGGGTGGAGGTGTTTGGAGGTCTGACCAGCGGTGATCCAATAGAAATCATTCTCCAAGTGGGTCATTTCAATAGGGATTTTAACATATTTTTAAATGAAAGGTCTTAGACTACCACATCAGGTCGTTCCCTTTCTGGGTCGTTTGTCCTCTCCCAGAAAAAACCGGATGAAGAAACACCACCACGGAGGTCGCCGCAGGTGTTTCGGGGTGCCGGATGTGTGTCGCTCTGGTGAAACAATCTCGTAGGACACTCTTGTCGGACACTCTTGTGGGACACTCTTGTGAAACACTCTCGTAGGACACTCTTGTGAGACACTCTCGTGGGACACTCTTGTCGGACACTCTTGTGGGACACTCTTGTCGGACACTCTTGTGGGACACTCTCGTGGGACACTCTTGTAGGATACTCTTGTGGGACGCTCTTGTATGTCACTCTTGTGGGACACTCTCGTAGGACACCCTTGTTGGGCATTCTTGTCCCAGAAGAGTGTCCTACAAGAGTGTCCCACAAGAGTGTCCTACAAGAGTGTCCCACAAGAGTGACAAACAACAGTGTCCCACAAGAGTGCCCCGCAAGAGTGTTGTCCTACAAGAGTGCCCTACAAGAGCGTCCCACAAGAGAGTCCTACAAGAGTGCCCCACAAGAGTGTCCGACAAGAGTGTCCTACGAGAGTGTCCTACAAGAGTGGCCCACAAAAGTGTCTCCTACAAGAGTTTCAAAAATTCTTTGGGTGTTTGTTTTTGAGTACGTGTTTACATGCGAGTTCGTGGGTTCCTTCTTGTTTATGTAGACTTTTGATATATTTCATCGCCCACTTTGGATTGCAACATCATTTTTTCAGGGGGGTTTTCATCAAGAGTCTACAGTAAGAGTTGTCTCACTTGTTTGGGGGCCCAAACTCCAAAGCTATAGGGGCTATGGCGGAAACATCCCAGACTAGTCCAGTATTCCTCCAATCTGGACTTTCCAGTCCTCTCCAGCTAGGAGGGGGAGAAAAAACCATGGCCCTCTCCGGCTACGACGTGCAGTTCCTTCCTCCTTCTCGTTCCTCTTCGGTCGGACCATTTGAGGCGAGAACTACAAGAGAGCGAATTTGATTCAGCATTGCTTTTAGGAGCATTGCTTCGGGGGGAGAGCGAGCTCGGGCGACCTGCGCTGTTTCCTGGCGATGGGTGAAAGAGCTGTTTCGCATTTTTTTTCATGTGGCGAATCCACCGTGATTTTCTGCCAACGCTTGAAGAAGTGTCAAATTGGAAGAATATGAGAACATGAACATGATGGAATCCGATGGAATCGGAGATTTGCACTTAGCGTGGTAAAGTCTTTAAAACCAAATTCATTCTTCACGAAGGATTATGAAGAACTGAAGCTTGACTGTGCAAGTAACTGGCTGGTGAGATCTAGGTAGATGGCATCCGCGATCTGAGGCGATGTGTAACAGAACCTTAAGCCTTGCCATTGATTGATTTTCGCCATCACAGTAACATGTGGCGGGGTCAATGGATGTTTGATATTCCTAGTCTGGCTGAATTTGAAGGTCCAACTCGCGTTCCCCATGCGTTACGACTGAACCCCATTTGCACTCACCGTTGCGCCGTAGTCCCTTCTTTGAGACGCGTCGGCTCCCGCGTCTCGTCTTTTCTTGAGGAGCATGACACGCACAACACGTGTTGCATGATGGACAAGAAGACCAGAGACGCCGATGCTGCAGGCGCCGTCCGATCGGCCGATCGCCGGCACCAAAAGGGGGTGGTTGCTTCACTGGAAGCCGCCCTGTTGAGGGCTTCGGAAGGAATTGAACGAGAGAGCAACCCAGTTCAGAGCGATTGACTCAAGAATTCAAAGAGAAAGGTGGTGAGATGTGATATTTTGGTTGAACTGGAAGTGATAGGAGATGGACGTAACTTTCTCAGTTCACATAAGTTCAAGAACATGTTCCCATTTGAACATCTTAACCCAAGATGTTCCAAGCATTTTCCAAGCATCTTCCAGGATTGATTGACACTGTTCGGAAAGGTTTTTACCGGTTTCACAGGCTTTTTCTTCACGATTTGTCCGCAAGATCGCCGTTTCCCGAGGCCTTAGGACGAGGCGGACACGGATCCGGGGAGGAGGTGATGGTGACCGAGGAGGCGGACAGAAACGGATCCCGTGATTGTTTGTGTTTTAAAGGGGAGAGGAGTCTGGTTTTCTTTCGGAAGTTTGATGCGTTTTGACCTTTATGAGGAGGAGAATTGTGTGTTTTTTTGGAAAATAGACGGTCTCTGTTCACCAACTTCTGACATCTGACGAGATCGATGCTCCTCAATCCAAAGAATTTGTTGCTTCCTGAAATCTAAATCAAGGCATGTCGGGTAGTTGCCATGACATTTTTAGCGAGTACAGCAATGCTGCTTGCCCAATTTCTCGTTGCTTGTTGTATCCTCCAGTGCTGGTACGTTGGAGAAGCTCGACGCATGGTTTCCTCGCACTTCCACTCTGCCCGGACTGCCTTGGAATCCAGTCGAAAGGTTCTGATCGCCATACGCCGGGAAATTTCTGATGATGAGGATGGAAACGACATTGTGAACTACTTGTCTGGAAAACTCTTAGACCAATGTCAAAAGCTGAAGGCGGAGGAATTACCTCACCAGGCTAATGCTTCAATGATTGGCAATTTGAAGGAAAAATTGAAGCTGTCAGACTTGTGCGAACAGCACGGAGACAAACTTCTTACAAAATTGTCCAAGAACTTGCACGACCCCAAGACTTCTGAATGGATCTGCAGTCAGGGTTTTGAACTTTCCAAGATCAAAATTGATGGGAACTTCTGCCGAGAGACCAGTGAACTGCTTCTTCGTGGTTTGCAAGACACGCTGCAGGAGAAAGATACGCAGCGTCAAGTGGCAAAACTGGGCATTTACTTAGTGAGAGCCGCAGTCATTGTAGCGCCTCTACCTGGTCCAATCGGTTGGATTCTGGACAAGGCTACACAGATGCTCCTGAAGAAGCTGACGAAAGATGCGGAAGAAGCATTGGACAACTTAGAGAAGCAACTTCAGACACTTCATTCCAGAAAAACATCCAACAAGTTTTTGTCACTTCTTCCGTGGTGTTTGTTCTTTTTTTGGGGTCTTTTTGTCCATTATTTGTTCTTGGGGTCAAACACCTAAGCAGCCTAAGCAGGCAGATTTTATGGATGTGTTCACAGTGGGTTGAGTGACGGTTGAGAAGACGACCTGATGCAGGAAGCTCGAAATGAAGATGTGGGACATCAGCAGACAGGTCGTGGCGGAAGAGTTCCTGCGTGTGGGAGGAGAACAAGTGAAGGTGGAGGGGAGAAAACCCCCTTTGAGAACCCCCACAGTTTGTTTTTGATCTATTTTTGGTGAACATGTTTTCCTTGTAGCATTTTGTACCAATAAGTGTTTTCTTTTTGGTTTTTCTTTTGCATAATAGTGTTGTTTTTGTTATTTTTTTTTTTGGTTGGTGTAGCCGGTATTTACTCACAGCCCAAGTGAAGGTGGCGGAAGATCAAGTGAAAGACATCGAGACCATTGACGAAGATGATTTCTGGGGCAATTTGATGAAAGATTCTTGGACGGCCGTCGTGCCAGCTGAGGCTTTACATCTCTAAAACATGTCTTCTTCATTATAGACAGATGTGAGTTGGAGTGATGATTCAAGTTTCACACATGCTGGCTCTTCAAATCGCCTTGTAGGGACATATATATATATGTAATATGACTTATGAAGGCTTCTAGCTTATCACAATCCCCTCCTTCGCCCAGGATTCCCAGGACCCAGCTCTTCAAAAGGTCGTGGCGGCCGCCAAGGAGGCCACGAGCTTCAACCGTTGGGCGGCCATCGAGCAAAGCCTCGCCACGACCTTGGCCATTCTGAGGCCCCCGGACTTCATGGAGACCGCGGAGGAAATGGAACCCTTCATCAAGGTCATGAAGATTCATTTCCAGATTGAACTCACCGTGCTTTCACATATGTTCAAAGTGGTGGAGAATGGTGCAAGCTTTCAAAAGATGGTGGTAAGTAAGGCGCACCGGGCTGCCCTTGCGGTTCTTCCATATTTCTTCATCATTGGCAGTGATGAGGCTTTACTGGAAACCATGAAATCTCCATTGCTGACGGTGAAAGACCACGACCCCTGCGAGGAAGGTGGCCACTCACTGGTTTGTGTCTGGTTACGCTTGCTGAGCAGCTCCAAGCAAAAGGCGAAAGCTTTCGAAAGTCCTTGGAGCCTTTGCGCAATGGAACCGGTTCCTAAGAGCAAGTACCATAAGCAGATAAAGACCTTTGGCTTTGGTACCTTTGAGAGTGAAGGTTTTGGAGTTTTTGTACACTTTGTGAACAACACGGAGAAGCTTCTGAACTTCAAATGTGGTGGTGCTGACCAATACATTGCTCAATGGAGAGAAGTTCATGATGAGAGCAAGTACTTTGGAAAAGACACCATAGAAGGAAAATGTGTGACGCCGCCAGAAGGGCTCCATGTTAAGCGCCATCTCAAATTCACTTCCACCAGCACGTTCTGTGCTACAATGTTGACATATGGCAATGTATCAGTAGGGGAGCTGGTGTCAGCAAAATTTGAAGAGGAGCCAGTCGAGACGAGCCGTTGCAATCGGGACCACACGTGGCATTTCAGCCGAACAATGACCAGTAGCACCTGCTACATTTCAAACATCTACATGACATGACTTCCTTTGCCTTGCGGAAAAAATGGCGACGCACATGCTTGCTTTTGGCGCTTGTCAAAGCAAACCAACCAACCAGCACGAAAGCGTCCCTTGACCAACCCACCGACCCCGCAGGATACGAAGAGAGGCTGTCTCGGGGCGGCGGACGCGGACGCTGGCGCAGAGTTGGGTGATTTTTTTCCGGTGATATTGATATTGAATGATATTGATATTGAGATTGAACATCAATAGTTTGGTGTGTTTTTTTCCATTCTTTTTTTCTCGGTGTCGAATCATAGGTTTGCAAAAGAGGGTGTCGAATGGGGTGTCCATGAAACACCCTGTGGCCCAGGGGCACCGGTAGTTGACATGAATTGAATACTGAGGTTACTGAGGTGCTGTCTTGTTACCTGATGAGTGTGTTGAAGAATGTTGAAGAGTGTGTTGGTCCATGGGTCGGCATTTAGTCTTTGAATCTGAGTTGGTTGCTCACTTGCTTGGTAAAAAAGGATGTTGGATCGGTGAGTTGTTCAAAATATATAAATAGAAATAAAGCATTGAAGCATCAGAGTTGGTCAAGTTCGCTTCATCAATTCTTTCGCCCAGGAAGCGAAGCTGGAGACTGGGGCTGCCGAATCTCCTATCTGAGTGCTGCGAGAGTGGAGAGCGCCGTGCTGCGCCGAAAAAGGTGCAAGTTCTTGGATTCAAGTGAGCATCAAACAGTAGATACTTGCGCATGGATGTTTTTTCTTTTTCTCCATGGAATTGACACCATGCAACGGATTATCTTTCTGTTTTTATCATAGACACATGCGACCCAGATCAGAAGGCCGCTTGGCCAGCCAGACGCACATGACCACCGATCAGAGCCACTTGCATCGGGAGCTGCGAAGCCTTCGAGGAAGCGAGCAATGAACTCAGTTTTCACCTGTGATCCATGTGCAAAGCTACCGGGAGATCCTGGGAGATGGATAAAGAACCATTTAATGTATACAAAACCAGGTTAACCAGGTCAACCATTCTTTTGATGGTGTTTGAAGGCTAGGGTATCCCATGGTGACGATCCAAAACAGCGAGCACGGATAAAAATCCGCACACTCATTTGTGCTTGTGATCTCGGATGGCCGGGACGTCAGCGGGTCGGCCGCGCCAAAAAGGGGCGCCGCCGCGCTCCGGTCGTGTCCGGCGTTCTCAGCTGCTTCGCTTCGCTTCGTGAGCGCACGAGTGGGATGGATACCAGAAGATGCCGGTGGCACCGACCCGATTCCCACGCACCGGACATCGGGGGATCCACAATAGCTGGAAGCTCCACAAGAAGTTTGAAGAGAACAGTCGGCGTAGAGTGCAGAGCTGGGGGGGGGGAATAGGTCCGTTTTCAAAAGGTTCGACTGCTTTTGGACGATCCACATGTTAATACACTGTGGCCATAGTGTGGGGATGGTTCTATTTGTCATTCTTTTTCAGGATGGCGGTAGTTTTTGCTCCACACTGACAGAGCTGCCGCATGTCATGTCGACTGCATATCATTGAGGCCCAAGTTGCTGGCAGTGGGTGACCGAATAGTTTTCGTGCCACTGGTGCCCGGCCGATTCATGTGACTCGGCCGCAGATGAATCCGAGAAGCTATGCCTGACGGAGCCTTCCCTTGAAGGAGTTGGATCCAGATTCTGTGCAGTTGGAATGAGTCAAAAGGATTTTTTCAGGTATATGAATCGATCGTCATTGGTTTTTCCAACGACCAATATATCTCGGCATACTCATCGACTTAGACGGAGTCACACGCAGGCATCAACCCTCATGGGGAGTCCCACATCCGAGAAGGTCATCCTTTTCCTGAGAAGGTCAAGCCACGGGCGTGTCGTCTATTTGATGCATCATCTGCATCGAACATGCCGACCTAAACTGACAGCAGGAAACCGTCCCTGGCAAAATTGCTGTCAGGCGACTGGGTTCCGGCACTCATCAAGTCGCCAGAAACCGATGAAGGAATAGGACTCGACAATAGGGCTTCCAGGCAGCCTCTCTCATGACGGCATGCCCTCCAACATGCAGGATAACAGCGGTAGGTCGTCACCACAGGCTACCTCCACTAACCTCCCTCCTCTAAAACGAAAGTGTTCCTTTTTTGGACGGCGTCCAATGTCTGCTGACAAGCCCCCGGCCCAGCCCGTCCCTCCGTTGGGAAGATGAAGAAGAAGAAGAAGAGGAACACTCCCGGCACATGACCCCAGTCTTAGTGCGAAGTGGTAGTGCCTCGGAAACTACCTCCTCCCTTTGTCAATCTGACCTGTTTGATCCTTGCTTTTCGGGAGTGTAGTTCTTCTGGGGTCCATATGGGCTGACGAACTGGTCTGTGTGGTATCACGCTGCTGCATTCGACAAATTAGCCCTCCACATAGATGTCTTCTGAGGAATCTTCGGGTTTGTTGCCGGGTCGTTTCGCGGTGAGAAAAACACTTGTCCCGAGTGCCGAGGTCTTTATAGTTCTGGCCTCTTCTCGCGGTTTTCGCCGCGATGACTTTCAGGATTGGAGTCGTGCAGGCCTCAGGACGTCTTCAGGAATTGGTGGGGTTTGTCTGAATGATGAGTATAGCCTGAAACGAGCATTTGTTTTTCAATTTGCTTTCTCTTCAAGTGGTGCCGCACCAGGGTACAAGACGCGTCCATGGAACATCATAGAAGGCTGAGGAAGCATTTCTCATTGAGGAGAAGGCTTTCAACTTCAGGATGGACTTCAACAATCTACCAAACATTGCCACAAAACGTTGTAGAGGCGTATACCGTATATATAGCTAATACGCTTGAATCTCTCGTTCGTCGTGTACCTGTGGATTTGTTGGTTCAAGCAACGCTGCTTTTTTCACTCAGGTCTTGCTGGTCTTGGCTGCTGCATGTCACCCGCAGGTTTGTGCCGTGGAGTTCGCGGGGTGTTGATCAGACGCAGAAGAATCTGTAGGACGGACAAACCATGCTATGGGTTGGGGGTGTCCGATTAACAGTAATAGTCAGTAAACAACGATCACTATTTTTGAAGTATAGGGCCTTTACCAACCTTCATCCCCTGGCGTCCAGACAATAGGATACACCCAGAAGCAGTGTGGGTGTTTGTTTTTCACAGGTGAACGGCGTCACGGCGTTGCTGGACTTGTCTCGCTTTCCGGTGATGACACCGGATCTCAAAATACACATTTTCGGCCATGATATCAAGAGAGTCACGTTGGCCATGAGATCAAGCCATTTTCTGGTTCTGGGCTGCCTGGAAGTGGTGAAACCCAAACAGGAGTGTGTGTGTGTGTGTGTAACCCTTGGAATCATAGGGGTCCTGTCGGATTTGCTTTGTTTTTTCATAGCAGGGGGTAGCGGCAGATCATTTGGGACCGCTACCAACGAAGACGCCCATTTGATCTGGTGATATCGGAGTTGGCCACTCCGACGTACCTGCGATTTTCCTTTCTTTCTGAATGGCATGAGGCTAAGCCAAGAACCTCCTGACATGATTCCTAAGTAGCCGCAGACTTGCACGCTACGCCGTCACCTTGTCGTTTCGTTCTCGACTTGCGAGCTTGGCCCCCTTTCCCCTTGAAGACCTCCAGGCTCCGATGGTTCTTACTGGTACTCTTAGGAAATGGAACCCTAGGCCGGCGTCTGGCACCGCAATCAAGTCAGTACGCATATCCATGAGTGTGTGTTTTTTTATTATTTCTTTTTAAACGAGCTTGGTGTTGACTTGGAGGACCTTCTGACATTCACATGATCACTTCGAAATCCAAGAACCAACCAAGAGGAGATGTCGACTCTGAGGTATATGGACAGGTCTTTTCCAGTTGGATGACCTTTTTCTTCGCATGATTCACACTACCCTAAGAATCCAGGCCCTCAAATAGATAGGGTTTGGGAACCGGGGTCCAGACCCCTACAATTCGGTGGAGAAGCTCCGACCCCTGTCATGGAGGGCCCATACGGATTCATGCAGGGCCCCCCTTCAAGTTCCTGGCGGCGTTGACGTCGGATGACCTCTTTGGAACCAGGTCCGGCGGCAGCCCTTGCTTTCTGCGGAGGCGGGGGGTGAGGTGGGTGGGCTGCGGGTGCGGGTGCGGGTGGAGGTGTTTGGAGGTCCGACCAGCGGTGATCCAATAGAAATCATTCTCATTCATTCTTCAAGTGGGTCATTTCAATAGGGATTTTAACATATCTTTAAATGAAAGGTCTTAGACTACCACATCAGGTCGTTCCCTTTCTTGGTCGTTTGTCGTCTCCCACGAAGAAACACAACGACCGAGCCGCATCGGATGTCCAACCCTGGACAGTTCGGACCGAAGATCCCCTTCGTCGCGTTCCGACGACGAATCTAACATGATCTAGACAGAGGATCGGGCGCCGAAACACTCTTCTAGGACACTCTTCTGGGACACTCTTGTGTGTCGCTCTTGCGAAAAACTCTCGTAGGACACTCTTGTCGGACAGTCTCGTAGGACACTCTTCTGGGACACTGGACGGAGGATCGGGCGCCTGGACAGAGGATCCGGCGCCTCCAACAACGACCCAACGACCGGATCCCCTGAGCGTCGTCACCAGACTCGTTGCCGCGGACTCCGCCGTCCCGTCGTCCCAGTCGCCGTCCGTCGTCTCCGTCGCAGGGGTCTCGGTCTCACGAGAGTTCACTTCAAAGGTCCAGCAGGCGAGGCGTCTGCGGGCGTCGAAGCCGGCGAGGCATCCGCGACCCGTCCGCGCCCGAAGCGTCCGTGCCGGGAGGGAGGGGGGGGGGGGGGGGGTGGTGTGGGGGTTGGTGGGGCACACGGCACACCGGCGCCCGAGTGGTTGGGGAGTGGTTGGAATGAACTGCCGTCAAAGTGGTGGGATATGTCAAAAGCAGCAAAGGGGCCAAGTACTTCCTGAGCGATTCTCTTGTTAAGTTTGCTTCATGACACACCATGCCAGACCTGAAAAGTAGGACTCAAAACCTCCATGGATGTCTTTTCTTTGAGTCCAGCTTGGGTCCGGGAATTGGAGGTACCATGTGACCGAAACCGCCGGTCCGGTCCCCGACCTTCCCAGTGACCCACGAGGGTCGAGGGACCGAACCCATCACCAAAAGGGCGGTCACTGGGAAGATCCACAGGAAGATGGGTTTTGTGAATCACCAACTCATTGGTGACATCTTTTCTCCACTCTCGAAGCCCATGACCTTCTGGACGTGGACAG